TTCAGTCAAAGCCTCCTAACTGATTGTGCTGCTTCCTATTTGCTACCTCTCCCACCCATTTGGTTTTTTTTTCAAACGGCACCCAGAGTGATTTTACTAAAACAATGACTCTCCAGTGGATTCCCATCTTACTCACAGTAAAAACTGAAATCTGTAATTGACTTACAGGCTATATGTTCTTGGCTACTCATTACTTCATTCCCTACCACACAGCTCCAACCCCAGTCATATCCTTAAAGATGTCTAGCATGACCCCACTTGACAATACTGCATTTGCTCTTGCTTTTACCTACAATACCTTTCCCCCAGATATTTACTCAAATGTCTTCTTCTTACAGAGGCATTACCTGACCAGGACAAACAGTACCTCTTCAGCCCACTCCATAGGCCTCTTAACCAATGTTATTTTTTTATTATCTACAACATTTATCACCACCTGATATAACTACGTATGTTTCTGCCTGCTGTCTCCCTCCTTAATCAAATACTGGTGTATGTTAGCACCCAAAGATGAAAGTATTCAATAAATATTTGCTGAGTAAATATAATAATAATCAATCAGTCTATTTTGGCCTACTTAAATAATTTTTCTCCTAGGTAGTGAAATTAAATTCTGTTCAAAGATATATCATACTAGAGTCATGTTTATCTTTCCAATCTCTAACAAATAGCAGAAATACAGGTTCACAAATCTGTACTGCATCCAGAAAGTTTCTACTAAGTTTCCAAACAAATAATTTTTATAATATATACTTCAAAGGGAATGTTTATCCATGCCTGAATGATGCAATAATTCATCATTCAGAACCTGTTAATATTAATAGCTCATTAAATGAAACAGCAAGGTTTTACTTCAAATGTATTTGAAAGAATATATAATAATTCTGTGGTCTATTTTTCTCAGCAATCAATCTCCTAACAAGACACATTACCATTTTAGTTACCAGTTGCTCTAAGTTTGTTTATTAAAACTAATATATGCAAAGAATCCATTTATATTTCACTAAATGATTCACAATGTTCTGCCCACCAGGTAAGATAAATAAATTATTTTTGTGTGATGTATTTTCTGATTAAAAAAAGCTATCTACTGATTTCTCATAATGATTGATTTTCACTTTAACAAAACTATAAAGAACACTCCTTGTGACTGATGCATCTAAAAGTAGCATTTTAATATTAATTTCCCATATACATTGCATGCAGGTTTATTTTAAATAGCTATTTGTCAGTCCATTTGGTTTATAGAAATTAATATATATAACATATTAAAGGCCTCCTATTTGTGATATTTGCAAGAACTAAGCCAGATATTAATGGACATCTATGCAGGGAGTATGTTTATTAATAACAGAAGTTACAAAGACAGGGGTAACACTAATTAAGTCTCTGTTATTACATGCCATGGTCCAGACAAGGTGTATTGTAATTTATAAGCAATATGCAATCTTTGCTACAAAGGAACACAATACAAGCAGAATAAGCCTGAGTTTAACTATTCAATTGCTTTCACAAATAATAAAAGGACACTGGAACCCATACCTGGTACAAAGCAGACCTTATTACCTATCAATTTCCACTAGGTACAGTCCTCTATTTCCTTGTCAGCCCTCTTCAGCCTAATTGGTTTTCCCTTGTTGTTATTCTCTGTGCTGTACAAGTTCAATCTTGAAGTGTTAAGCTAACAATTTGAGGCTTCTACTGCAAACTTCTCTGTATAACACACTAAACTCTTTTAAAAGGTAAAATATACTTCAACATAAACAATATACCAAGAACCTATTCAAAATAAGCAGAGCTTTAGAAAATACACTTCTCTATGAAACAGAGCTGCTTCAGTTTCCAGCTATATGATCAAAGTATTACATAGTACACTCGTCCATACATAAACAGGAAAACACTCTACAGAAAATGATGACATTTCCGTATTGTTGATGACATAATTTCCTCTCCCTGCACCACTGAATCTACTCAGAAATAAATGTATTCTCTGTTAAGCCACTATAATTTTGGAACTATTTGTTACTACAGCACAAACAGCCTCTCCTGCCTCATACAGTACCTGATAAGACTGTAACACATATTAAATGAGATAATTCATGCAAAAGCACTTAGCACATAGTAAGTGGACCTGAAAATTGAAGCAACTGATGATTCGTCATTATTTAAATACTGTTTTCCTTTAAAATGTACAAGAATGAATCAGAAGTTAGATTTATCTGGCCAGGATTTTAAAGCAGCCATCATAAAAGTGCTTCAATAGGCAATTATAAATCCCCTTAAAATAAATGAATAGGATATCTCAACAAAGAAAGAGATATCATTAAAAATGAAACATTTATAACTAGAAAATATAATAACCACAAGAAATAACTCACTGAAGGACTTCCAGCCAAGATGTAGGTAGATACACTTTGCCTCCTCGCACAACCAAAAGAGGACAACAAATTTAAAACCAAAACCACCAGAACTGCCAGAAAATCGAACCATATGGAAGTCCAACAACCAAGGAGTTAAAGAAGAAACATTCAACCAGACTGGTACGAGGGACAGGGACGGGAAGCCAGGGCACAGAAGACAAGCAGCAAGGCAGCAACTGGCAGAGGTGGCTGGCAGTCCCACATTTGCACAAGGATAAACAAGGAGGAACAACAGGGGAGTGAGACAAACCACACACTCCAGGGTTCCAGTGCAGGGAAACTAAAACCTCAAAACCTCTGGCTGAAAAAACTTGTGGAGGTTCCAATGATGGGAGAAACTCCCAGTCTCACAGGAGAGTTCACCGAAAAGACCCACATGGTCATAGAATGTACACAAACCCATCCACCCAGGAATCAGCATCAGAAGGGCCCAATTGCTTGTGGGTAGCAAGGAAGTGACTAAAAGTTGGCAGAGAGCTGACTAAACGGCATTGTTCCCTCTCAGATCCCTCCCCCCACATACACAGCAACCTGGGTTGACCCACCCTGGCGAATACCTAAGGCTCTACCCCTTACTACAAACAGGCAAGCTGAGACAAAAGAATATGTTCTTTGAAAATGAAAGAACAGATCAAAAGTCCAAAAATAGAACTAAGCAACAAAAAGGCAGCCAACCTATCAGATGCAGAGTTCAAAACACTGGTAATCAGGATGCTCACAGAAATGGTTGAGTACAATCGCAAAATAGAGGAAAAAGTGAAGGCTATGAAAAGTGAAATAAAGGAAAATGCACAGGGAACCAACAATGAAGGGAAGGAAAATGGGACTCAAATCAATGGTTTGGACTAGAAGGAAAAAATAAATATTTGACCAGAAGAGAATGAAGAAACAAATATTCGAAAAAAAAGAGAAGCTTAGGAACCTCCAGGGCAATTTTAAACATTCCAATATCTGAATCAGAGGGGTGCCAGAAGGAAAAGAGGAACAGCAAGAAACTGAAAACGTAATGAAGGAGACCTTCCCCAATCTGGCAAAGGAAATACACTTCTAGGAAGTCCAGGAAGCTCAGAGAGTCCCAAAGAAGTTGGACGCAAGGAAGTACACACCAAGGCAAATCATAATTACATTAGCCAAGATTAAAGATAAAGAGAGAATCTTAAAAGCAGCAAGAGAAAAGGAGACAGTTACCTACAAGGGAGTTCCCATAAGACTCGCAGCTGATTTCTCAAAAGAAACTTTACAGGCAAGAAGGGGCTGGAAAGAAATATTCAAAGTCATGAAAGGCAAGGACCTACATCCAAGATGACTCTATCCAAAAAAACTATCATTTAGAATGGAAGAGCAGATACAGTGCTTCCCAGATAAGGAGATCATTATCATCAAGCTCTTATTACATGAAATGTTAAAGGTACTTATCTAAAAAGAAGACGACGATCAAAAATACGAACAGAAAATGACAACAACCTCACAACTATCAACAACTGAACCTAAAGAAAACAAAACAAAAACAAAAAACAAACTAAGCAAACAACTGGAACAGGAACAGAATCACAGAAATGGAGATCACATGGAGGGTTATCAGCGGGGGAGGGCAAGGGGAGAATGGAGGAAAAGGTACAGGGAATAATAAGCATAAATGTTAGGTACAAAATAGAGAGTGGGGGTTAAGAATAGTATAGGAAATGGAGAAGCTGAAGAACATATATGTACAACCCTTGGACATGAGCTAAGTGAGAGGAATGCTGGTTGGAGGGGGTGGATACAGGGCAAAGGGGAATAAAAGGGAGGAAAAAATGGGACAACTATAATACCATAACCAATAAAGTATATTTAAAAAAAACACTATAAGCAATATCAACACAAATTTAATAGACTGTAACAGCTACAATCACATCGATATTAATCTCTAGCTGTTTATCATAAATATATTAATATTCTTCTGAGCTAAAAATATTAAAAGAAAATATATAATTATTATTAATACATCTGTATAATTGATGCACTAATTAATCTGTATTGTGCTTAAAACTTTTTCTTCTGCAGTCTTGAAAAGGAATTTTTTAAAAAGCCCTTCCTTATATATCACTTGTTTTCCTTAAAATACAATCTTTAATACAACTTAGTTCCCAACAGCTTTTAAGGTAACTATTTCCCTTTTGATTTTATGAAATAAGCCATCAATTCAATGACTCAGATATTTCAGCAATGAGTACACCATATTTATGAAAAGAATGAGGTAAGAATAAATATTGTAGAACCCACAATGGTTGTTTTTTAAAATAGGTTTATAAAATGTCAAGATTAGTTTATAAAACTTTGTGTCAATTTTCCCATGCTCCGGGTTAACAGACTGTTCAACAAAAGGAGAAAACTTTTTTGTTCCTTTTCTTGTCTGTTTTTGAAGATAATCCATTTAACATTTTTAAAGACAACTGGTATGTTTTTCCCCAAGGGCTCAATCACTTATGGCTCTAGTTTATCATCCCAGCCTTGGGAACGCTGTATTTAGCAAGACTGAAGATGGTCATGATGATAACGTGGTTAGCTAGAAATCCTCAGGCTCCTGAATCACCACCTTACCTCAGAGTCATCAGTAGATTCTTCAAGAGACCCAGTTTCCTACAAAGCATAAAGGGGGAAAATGGTCAGAAAAATTGAGAAAAGAATAAAAAATATTTTGTCTTTTCTTTTGTTTTTGAGTATATTTATGTTTATTTGTCCCCACCTCCACTTTTTAAATATATTTTATAGATTATGTTATTACAGTTGTCCCATTACCCCCCTTTATTCCCCTCCACCCTGCATACACTATCCCAAGCACATTCCCCCCTTTAGTTCATGTCCATGTGTCATAAGTTCTTTAGTGTCTACATTTCCCATACTATTCTTGCCCTCCCCCATCTATTTTCTACCTACCATCTATGCTACTTATTCTCTGTACCTTTTCTCCCTCTCTCTTCCTCCCACTCCCCTGTTGCTAACTCTCCATGTGATCTCCATTTCTGTGGTTCTCTTCCTGTTCTAGTTGTTTGCTTAGTTTGTTTTTGTTTTAGGTGTGGTTGTTAATAATTGTGTTTGCTGTCATTTTACTATACATGTTTTTTTATCTTCCTTTTCTTAGATAAGTCCCTTTACCATTTCATAAAATAAGGGCTTGGTGATGATGAACTTCTTTACCTTGACCTTATCTGAAAAGCACTTTATCTGCCTTTCCATTCTAAATGAAAGCTTTGCTGGATAGAGCAATCTTGGATGTAGGTCCTTTCCTTTCATGATTTGGAATACTTCTTTCCAGCCCCTTCTTGCCTGTAAGGTCTCTTTTGAGAAATTAGCTGACAGTCTGATGGGAACTCCTTTGTAGGTTACTGTCCCCTTATCCCTTGCTGCCTCTAGGATTCTCTCCTTCATTTTCACCTTGGCTAATGTAATTATGATGTGCATTGGTGTGTTCCTCCTTGGGTCCAACTTCTTTGGGACTCTCTGAGCTTCCTGGACTTCCTGGAAGTCTATTTCCTTTGCCAGAATGGGGAAGTTCTCCTTTATTATTTGCTCAAATAACTTTTCCACTTGTTGCTCATCCTCTTTTCTGCCACCCCTATAATTCGGATGTTGGAACATTTAAAGATGTCCTGGAGGTTCCTCAGCCTCTCCTCATTTTTTTGAATTCTTATTTCTTCATTCTTTGCTGATTGTGTGTTATTTTCTTCCTTCTGGTCCACTCCATTGATGTAAGACCCAGCTTTCTTTCCATCAATATTGATTCCCTGTGCATTTTCCTTCATTTCACTTATTGCAGCCTTCATTTTTTCATCTAATTTGCAACCAAAATCCACCAATTCTGTGAGCATCCTGATCACCAGTGTTTTGAACTATGCATCTGATAGGTTGGCTATCTCTTGGTCACTTAAAAGTACTGGTTCTGGGCCTTCATTTGTTCTTCTGTTTGAGCCACCCTTTTTTTTTGTCTTGTCACACCTATTATATATGAGGGGCGGAGCCTTAGGTGTTCACCAGGGCAGGGCACCCCAGTCACTGGGTTGTGATGCTGTACATGGGGACAGGGTCCGAGGGGCAACAATGGCACTTGCTCCACTCTCCGTAGGACTTCAGTCCCTTCTGCCGCTTCCTCCAAGCAAACTGGACCTTTCTGGTGCTAATTCCCATGTGAACCCCATGGGTCTTTCCAACAACCTCTCCTGTGAGGCTGGGAGTCTCTCCCTGGGCCTCAACCCCCACAGGTGTTTTCAATCAGTGTACCGAGGCTCTATTTCCCAGTGCTGGGACCCTGGGACTGCCTGGTCAGCCAGCTGCCTTGTGAGCAGTGCCTTGCTTCCCAATCACTGCCTCACTGGGTCTGCCAGTTGCCACCCCTCAGCCGGGGTCTGCTCGCTGAGGTCTTGTGAGCCCAGAATGCCTTACTCCAGTCCCACTGCTCTTTGTTCCATGACCCCTCTCTGTGAGGCTGCCCGACTCCACCCCTCCTACTGGTCTGGATGAATACGTATATTTTAACTCCTTGGTTGTCCGACTTCCACACAGTTCAATTTTCTGTCAGTTCTGGCTGTTATTCTGTTTCTAAACTTTGTTGTCTCTATCTTGGTTGTGCGAGGAGGCATAGTGTGTCTACCTACACCTCCATCTTGGCCAGAAGTGGAATAAAAAATATTTTCAAGGGAAAAGAGTCCTATGTCCCCACCACGAATATCCACCTTCCCTTTTTTTTGAGATAATCTGCAAATACAGTTTAAAGGACTCCATATGGCCCAATTCTCACAGGTCTCTTACTTCTCCACACCTTGCAGGTCTGAGATGGTCACTCTGGGGCCACACGAATCCACTCCTCCTGATGGCCTCCCTTGAGTGGTCAGCAGGCTGACAAATAACCCCAGAAATTGTCATGTGAGTATATGGAAGGCTTTTCCCTTGTTAAAAATATAAATTGCTTTGGCAAAACAGCCTTACCAATCTCACAAGGGAGGAGGGAACTGCCATCTCAAATTATCTATAAGCCAATTTTTATACTGAAAAGCTCCTGTGCTATTAGTTATTATGCTATTAATCTAGTTGCATAGAAATAATTGTCTCACTTAAACAGCATTTAAAAAAGAATCCCCCTACAGTGGCACCTATCAGACACTGTGCAAACAAGTTGTATAATTTACATCCACTCTTTAAACCATTAACTGGAAGACAAATTCTACCATTTAACAGTTTCCCTCTTGCTAGACAATGAATCTTGCTGCTCTGTAGAAAACAAAGCAAAAAGGGAAAAATTGACTTGGTCCCGCTAATCTCTCACCTGTCCACTGAAAGAGAGAATCTGCTGATGCCATGCATCCTCAAACAGGTCAGCAAAATGAAGATTTACTTAACGTACTCATAGATATCAATAGCAATAAAAAGTTACAACTAATATGCTGACACTGAATGTAAGATTTTACAATAATCCATGAGATAAAGAAGAGAAAAAAATGAGTCAAGGACATTTAGACATAACAGATATTTTTTCAACAAAAAGAATGACCATTTTAAAGAAAGTATGATGTGTATATATATTACTTAATACAAATTGGACAAGAGGACAAACATAAATTTGGTGTTTGAAAACATTTTAATTTCATTCATGGAAAATCAGTAAGAACCTGGCAGGTGGCAGGCTGCCCAGGTACCAGCCTTGTGGACAATACAGTCCCTGCTCTCAAAGACCATCTTTAAAATGGGGATGAATGTTACCTGTAATTAAGAATTTTATTATAGTTATATTATTAACCATGATGAAGATGAGACTCTTCTCTACATTCCAATGCATTCTATTTACTTTCATGTTATTCTAAGTATTAGGAAGTTCTTAATTAACTTGGAGCCACAATCTCTCCACAGTAACTTTTTAAGACCAATAAGACACATAAAAAATGCAATTATTCTACTACTATGTGATAGCTCTCCACTGAATTAATAACACAGAGTATGCCTATCCTTCTAAATTGTTTCTCCTTTGTGCTAACCATCCCCAGTTCTAAGTTTTAGTACACTTACTATCCTCTTTAGAACACACTCCACTTAATATTAAGTCACTATTCTGACATCTTTACTGAGCATCTATTATATATATTCCCATAATGCTAAATGCTTTACAGGTAGCATCTTGAAATGTCCTAATTATCCCTGATATTAGAACACTGAGGGTTAAAGGCGAACTTCTGAAAGTCCCTGAATATTAAATTATTAGCATTAGCAAAACTAGGCTTTGATAACTGTGCCAATGAATCACACATAGGTTCCTACTCCCTAACTCTAGAACTCTGAAAGGACACCTGACTACTCTTTTCAGAAAAATGACATTCAACAGAAGGAATTTTTTTTCTTATTTGAAAGCCATTCAAATACATACATGGGCAAAGTGCAAATGTCCCACTTACATTCTTGATTAAAACAAAAACTTCAGTCCCCACCCAGCAATTTCAATCCAAAAATTCTAAACCAGGTTATACACTTGCTCCCCAGAGAAAGCAATCAGACTGCAGAAACAAAAGTCTTCAGGGAAAACCAGGCTTTCAGAGGTACTTCCCGTGAATGATAGTATCAATCTAGCTCATTTACTCCAGGCCTCACTCAGATTGATCCTCAGCAGCAGCACAGACCTCCCAAACATAGCATGGCCTCAAAAACTTACACTTGTGTCCACAACCCTACCAGATCAATGAATGAGTGACTTTGAGAATTATCCTGGTCTGTTATTTCTTAGCTTCATTCATTCATCAAGCCCCTGTGTTTAATAAGCTGTAGAGCCAGGCAAACAACATGTGACATCAAAGTCCCCAGTGAAGGATCTAAGAAATAAGGATGAAACTTGAGAAACATTACAATTTAGGAAGTCAGTGGTTTTCAAACATTTTGTAATGTCACACTCTATCTTTGAAAGAATCTAACTTCAAATCATGAAAATACAGGTTATAAAACTGTGTTGTTCTCTATGCAAAATAAGCCAGATACAAAATGACAAATATTGTAGGATTACTCTAATATAAGAAGAAAGTAAAATAGAGGTTGGGAAAGCTAGGGAAGGGAGCACTGAAGGGTACTATTTAATGGGTACACAGTTTCAATCTGTGATGATGAAAAGTTGGTGAGGCTGAAGCAGGTGATGATTGCACAACAATGTGAATGTACTTAATGCCACTGAATCATTCACTTAAAATGGTTAAAGTGGTAAACATTATGGTATGTATATTTTACCACAAAAAAAAGTGCTGTTCTGATTGAAGCAAAAATGATGAACTAGAAGGTATGCAGTGACAGAAATGCACAGCCCAACAAATTCTGGGCAACAGGTTGAAAGCTACAGTCAACAACTAACTGCTTTTACACACCAATCCCTTAAACTCAATCATCTATCCAAACCCAATGCTCTCCATAGCTTGAAATGTGACCTCTGAAATCTATTCAACTGTGTCAGATTACATTCCCAAACCTCATATCAGGCTGGACACTGCCCTCCCCAAAGAATCCTCAGGAGTCAGGAGATTTCAGATTCCTCAGCAAGGTACTCAATGACCACCCTGGCCCCATATAAACACCTCAATTCCCACTCTGCACAACCCAGGGCCCTCCAGCCCTGGGTAGTATCTTTAAGACTGCCATATAAAAATCTGTATTTCTGCCTTCATAAAAATCAGACAATATGTCTACTAGGATCTACATTTCCACACAACATCAGTTGTAGCTACGCAGCTATGTCCCCGAGATAGAATGCACTTCACCCACCCATAGCACGCCCAGTTTCCCTGTATCAGGACAATTCTACTCATTTCTATTGTCAGGTGCTTGCCCTGAACTTGCAGTGTTTGTACTGAGCCTTTCCTTAAGTGTTTCCCTCAGCTTAGAAGGCCCTTGTCCCAACTCCACACTCATCCTAGCATTCTTCCAAATCCCAACATGTTCTACAGGTTTGGTGAAACCCACAGGGGCACCTCTGGAAGGTAGGTAGTCAGGCTAAGGGGCTTCACTCTTGCTTCACCAACAGAGTTAGGATTCCATGGTTGATACTTTCATGTTGCCAATCAGGTTTTTTTAAAAGTTTAAAACACATTGGCCATTTCTAAATCCTAATATTTCTTCATAGCCCAACCTAGGTCCCACCTCTTTCACAGAATAGTCTCTAGTAAGCCCAAAACACAAGGTCCAAATCTGAGCTCCTGTGGACTTTGTTTTTTCCTATAACCCTCAACTTGTAATATTAACAGCCTTGTCCTAATGGTTACCCTTTAAAATACAATGTAGATAAACCCAAATGTTTTTGCTTCTTGTCTCCCATTATCTTATCTGAAGGAAAAGCTCAACATCCATCTGTTGGTGATGATTATTAAAAATAAGCAATTGATCTAACATTCTCCCTCCTCTATATATTCCTTTTCCACTTATGAGCAATACCAGGTGTATTATCTCCAGGCTTGAATTATTAGTTTGTGGCTATAACACAGTTACAGAGGGGGCCTGCAGGGAGGCAGCAACAAACAAGCATAGAGAAAGTCAAACAAAATGTTAACCACCTGGTAAAAGTCTGAGGAAGGGAATAATAGGGCTCTCAGATGACACTTCTAATAAAAGCTATCAATCTATCACTCCCATTTCCAACATCAGCATGGGGCCCATGACAGTAGCTTGGGAGAAGACTCAGCACAGCTGGCCTTAGAGGCAGAAGGGTCAGGAAGGCTGTCAGCCCAGGAGAGAGAGAGACCAGGACCTCCAAGGTAGTGAAGCCCTCAGAATTCTGAGGGTATACTCACTGTTTGTTGGGGGGTGGGGGTGGGGGTGATGGGAATTTGGGAGAGGAATGGGCAGCTGGAGTTTGAGGAAGGCCAGCTGCAAACTCTGCAGAATGAAGAAACAGAACAAAGACCAGGGCTCAGGAAACCAGACTGGGCTGGATATGGACAATGAACATTCAAGGTTGTACTGCCACTTTCACTCCCTTCCCTGCAATCTGTGTGAAAGAGCAATGCTTAATGGAAGAGGTGGTGTGAGAACTCTCAATATCTGACACAAGCACAGGAAATGGGGTATATTCTATGTGGTATGTATTTGATAGCCTTGTATAAGAGAGACTCAATTTCAAAAAGTTTTGAGGTGCCTTGGAACTGGCTGGTTTAGTAGGAAAGAAAACAAAACATATCTAGGGAGCTAGCAGGAGCAAGGAGACTCAGGTGACCAACCCTGTTCAATTCACTAGCCTTAGCTACTGCACTCATCTTGCTCTGCAAGTGAAAAAACATCTTGACACTTGCCCCAGCTTGGTGACTTAGTGACTCAATCCCAAAATCTGACATTGCATTAGAACCATCTAAACTCAGTTTGGGGAACTGGCTAATACCTGCCAATACATGCCATTTTGACAGATTCTGATTCAGTGGGTATTAATAAAAGCCTAGAATCACAAGCATTTGGTACAAAAACATTAGAAGAATCAAGTACCTAGAAGACAAAAAGGCAACTACAACTAGGCAGGCATGAATGGGGAGCTGCATGAAACCGAGAAGCCCCTGATTTGATGAGAACTCCCTCTCCAAGGTGGCCATACAACCTCTAGGAAGACTACTAATAATCAGCTAGTGACGTCGGCCTTCAGCCAACCAACCCAGACAAATATGAGAGGAAAAAACTAACAAGGCAATAAACACGTCCAGCTAAGCTAACTTGTAACTATACTTTAGTTACATGACACTAAAGAGTGGGCCATCTAAAAATTTATCTTGCAATTTATTTGGGGCTTTGATTTTCCTTTCCATATTAGTAGATCCTTTTAAAAGTCTGTCTTGGTCAAAATTAAGAGAAGAGAAACATGCATACCTAAGCCAAGCCCATATTTGGATGATAAATTACTGTGTTCTTTATAAGAAAATCATTTCAATCTGGACACTTTAAAATGCTTTATGTCATATAAGAGCTCTGGAGAGTAAAACCCCCATTTACAGGCAGAGAAACTGAGGCATTCAATTATTTATTGACTTGATTTTTCCTTTACACATGGGACACAACCACATGAAAGTATACATGTTCATGAATATGTCTCTGATAATAAGTAAATGCTCTACAATAAGGATAAAATTTCCCTAAGTTTTAAAACATAGAGAGAGAAGTCAAAAGAGAAACTATCCTATTTGGTTAAGAAATGCATGGTCTGATTGATCAAATAGTTTAACACCTAAGTTCCCTGCTGTGAGAAAAATGAAAGAGTACCTGGGAAGCTGGCAGAGTAAGGAGTCTACATAGGGGAAGTAATCTACAATACATTTGAATTAGTAACTTTCAAAAGTTTAGAGTAAGATAAATAACACCACAAAGTCTATTTAACCTACTTACAATTTGACATTTTCAATTCAGAAGGCTATTCTTCCCCTAATAAATTCATTTAAACATTTTATCAAGCTCCTAGTACTAGCCCTGTGAGATTTACAGACATGAGAAAGCTCTCATCATTCTTGAGGACTTAGCAGTCTGTAGTAGATAAGACAAATATACAAACAACCAGACTTGAAGCAGAATGTTATTCATGAGAGGTATAAACAAATATGGTTGAGCATCTTATGATTATCAAGATCAACTGTAAATTATTTTGGTCCTAGATAAAACTGTAGTTTAGAAGATTTCCAGGCAGAAGGCAGGGTATTAGTTCTTCCTGTGAACTATATAACATATATGTAAGTATTTTTGAGAACTACTGTACCTTTACCATACTCAGCATATACAAAGATATCTCAATAGCCCTTAAAAAATATTTATTCATATCCAAAGATTGATTTTTAGTTTGAGAGTTTACTGTTTGAAGTTTTGTTAACTCAATACAGATATCACTATTGGTTCTCCCTAATATTAAAGCAATCATCAAAAACAATGCTCAGAAACAATAACAGGGCAGATTTAGTTTTGTCATGGAGGAATGTTTGCATTTACAATAAAAAAGCTTCCTTTGCCCTAACATGTCATTATAGTTAGTTCTTAAAGCATTTGGAGGAGAAAAATTATGTGAAGATTTTCTAAAAGGTTCAAAGTATCAGAACAGAATCAGCAAATGTACTTAACTCCACTTTAGTGCACTTTTAGCCTTCAAAAAAACTGTATAATAAAGGCTCATTATCTTATAGTTGAGGTTATAATGGCTTTCAACTGTAAAATGTGAACTGCACAAACAAAAAGTGAGAAAATTTTAACCATTTTTAATCTATAAAGGATTAATAATATAGATACAATTATTTATTAGCTTTCTTTCAAAAAATACACAAAACAACAATTTGTAAATGTCTGCTCCGTTCTGCTGTTGACTGGTCTTTTTGAAAGGACACTAACACTACTGGGGTGGGGGCAGAGAGCAGTGAATGCCTGCTCCAATCCTTTCCTGGCTGTTAAAACATCAAAAGTGAAATAATGACTTACAGGAAATGTATAAAGGTGGTAAGGGCTAATTCTACTTCATAAAGTTAAAAAAATATTTAGGATTAGGTTCTTAAGTATTTTTTAAAAGACAGGATGTTCTAGTGAAAAATTATGAGCTTTGAAGATAGATGACTAGAGATATAGATCTCCAGTCTGATCAAGCTACTTAAGTTGTCTGAATTTCTATTGTTTACCTAGAAAATTTTAGTATGTACTGACTATTCAATCATTTTAATATGTACTGAGTATTAAGCACTACTCTAGGTATCAGGGAGACAGCGGTGAACAAACCCTTGTCATCATGGAGTTTATGTTCCAATGGGGAAAATATACAGAAAGATTATAAGAACATACAGAATACACAGAAAAGATAGACGAGCACAAAGAAGAAAATATGAAGGAAAGAGGTTTCAAAGAATGATCAGGGAAGGTCTCACTCAAAACAGATAACACTTGAACACAGACATAAAGGGAATGAGGGAGAAAGCCCCTGTACCTATCTTGGGTCAAAAAAGCATGCAGCATGAGCAAAGGTGCTTAGGCAGAAACATGCCAGTCTTGTAGAAAAAAACAGTAATAAAGCCAGCATAGCTGATTCAAAATGATAGAAGGGAAGAAGAGTTGTGGAAAATGAGGTCAGAGAAAGGGGACAGAGCGACTGGGGCAACGTCACGTACAGCATCAAGTCTATTATAAGGACTCTGGCTTTCCCTCAAGAGTGCAATGAGAAGCCACTGGAAAGTCTGGAACATGGGCTGGACCTGACATAAATATGAGAATAAACATTTACCACACAGAATTCTTTTCTGAGGACCAAATGCAAATGTGAAAGGGTTCTTTATACTGAAAAGTACTGTACAAATTCAAAGCACTGTCATTTTATCATGAACTTTCTACATCAGGCAGCTTTGCAAAAAACTCCTGCACAAAACAACAGCAAAAACTAAGAGTAACTCTCTCCATTTCTACTACCCTATATCTAAGATTTGAAGGAGGTTTTTTTTTTTTTGCTTTTGAATCAAACCACCAAAAAATTATATTTCAATATGAAAGGGAAACAGTATGCAAACCAATCACACTAATATCATCAAACCCAACAATGAGCCATGAAATTACATGTGCTTAATGAACATTTTCCTTTGAAATGCCCAAAACACAAAGGAGGCTCCAGTGGTAAGTAGGAGACTCTTATCTCAATGACCACCCAAACCAAATTTCTACCTTATTCCTTAATCATTGGCATAGATCAAATGTACAAAGGGCATACTTTCATTATGTAAGTATGTTGCAAATGGTACAAATTATAAACTAGGTAAACTTCTGTTATTATGTTGCTAACCAGCTCATCACCAAATCACTTCTTAGAGGCGATTATGGATACGGATGGTCCTGTTCATTTGTGAGGAGAAACAGTGCTAAGCTGAAATGACCCTCAAAATGGAAAATTAAGGTATTTCTCCAACTTCCAGCCTTTGTCCTCTCTTTTTGTCTTCTTTATGTTACTCTGTCATTTCAACTAATTTCTGGCTGCCACTCTTGCCTGTATGAAAATAACTACTGCCATCACTATTTCTCCCGTAAACTCCAGTGTCACTTTGCCAGCTGTTGCCTGGACATTGTCACCTTATGTGCCAGCAACACATAATTCCTCTCCTAATTTTATGCCAACTTTAACTTTGTGTACTAATTCATTCCAATTTAAACCACCTTACAAAGACGACACTATATTATTTCTGTCTTCTATGTAAAAGTTAAATAACCTCAAGTCATATATTTAAAAAGAGAACCAGCGCTGGAGCCTACTCATTTTCACTCCAGAATACATGCACTTAACCACCGTTGCACGGCGCAGCGATTTAGCTTTGTAGTTAAATGCAATAGATAAGAAACAAAAATCATCATCTACTTTCTCCCATGACTCCTGCAAATCGCTCTCACTGCCCTTCTTCGAGTATAAAGCAATTTAAATTCAGTCACCTGGACTCAAAACTCAAGTCATCTCTTATGCTTCCCACAGGCAGTCAGCCGCTGGGGTAGCCCAGGCTGCCTTCAAGCCAAAATTTCACTGAGCACAGGCCACAGTAGCAGAGCCAGGAAAAGGAACGCCTCACAAAGGCTCGCGGTGGGTCACTGGGCATTCCCAGGCTGAAGGCCCTCCAAGAACAGGCATCCCACCCGCGTCTCTGCTCCTGAAATGGCCTTTCGATGCACGCCCTGCTGTGGGCCTACCGGGCCCTCCAGCAGCTCCACACCTCCACACGCTGCTTTCCAAGCCTGGAACCACCTCACCCTCATTTCCCTTCCCTTGCCCAGTGGCCTTTACCTGTTCCTCAGCTTCCGCCATGGCGCAGTCAGGGAGTCCTGGGACAAACCCGGAAAGGCTAGAAGTGGGGACACTGTGACCCAGTGCCTGCTGGGAAATGTAGTTTTAAGCGCATGTGAGCCGGGATGGTCTTTCTATCCGGTTAGGTTGTTAGGCCCTGGTTTCGGCTTCTGACTCTTCAAACTTAACAAAGCCATGCTTTGAAGAATCTAAACATAACCATTGTTAATGCTTTATTTTATTGTTGGTCTTATTTTTTCCGTGATTATTATGGTATTTATTAATATTTACTATGTATCAGGTCCTGGGTTTATAAGTTTGCATAAATTGTCTCATTCAATTCTACCAGTAATCCCTCCTACTTTTATCCTCCTTAAAGAGAACACTGTGTGTCCGAGGTCTCACAGCTAATAAGAAGCAGAAATAGGATTTAAGTTTGGCCTCATCTGATGCTAAAGACTTGATTACCAACTACTGCTTAGTCTAAAAGTGTTCTTGCCTTTTTTAAAAGGCATATTAAGGGAATGTAAAGCACTCTTTGCAGGAACAGCCAAAAAAACATTTTACACTCCAAAAATATTTATTTAGCTTCTACTCTTGTTACTTTAAGTTGACATCTTCTTCTGGCATCTGGACATTGACATTAAATTCTCTGTTGTTTAATTAAATTATTCATTAAACTATTATTGAGTATATTCTATAGGTAAATATTTGAAATAGAATAAAAATTTGTTCTTTGTAAAACACTGTAAAACCACTGTATTACCTACATCCTTTAGAATGAACGACCCCCTTTTCATGTTTCCAGGCATTTTAAACTTTCCTACCTAACCCTCAGGAATTTGCAGTATCTTATCCAAAGGCAGGCATTTTCTTCTTTCCACTCATCTCCCATAGCTGGTAACAAGCAAAAGGTATCATGTATAGCAGCAAGTGCTGTTTTCCAGATGTCCTTTTGGACTCCTTATTCTTATTGACTCTGACCTAGTAGGTAATCATAGACTTAATATTCTGTGCCTCCCAGGTGTCTAGCTATACCCTGCTCAACCCATGATTCCCATGGCCAGAGTGACTTCATCTGAGACACTTGTCTTCTCCCCAGGACCTAAACAGTTTTAGTTACACCCTCTTCCTCCAGGCCTTGCTGGGATATGTTTTCCAGTCTGCTGATCACTCAGTCATAAGTGAGTGAAAACCAACCCCAAGACATTGAGATATCCATAGTGAAGTACCCAGTACAATAAGATCTTCTCTTGAAAAGCAGCCCAGTACCAAGTATTTCTCATGATAAGCTTCAAGTCCAACAAGGACTCTTTCTTATACAGACCAAAGATGTTATGGAAACCCTCCTCCACAGGAAAAAGAAATAAGCCTAGCCCCTCTACTTTTCTGACTTTCCTTACAAACTGTAATGCTCCCATATGAGATAGACCTACCCATAAACCTCTAATGGGCCTGACTGAAGATGTAGCCAAAGTTTATGCAGATAACTACCTTACTCACACAACCTCAGAGCCTCTGGATCCCCAAATCTGTTCCCCATTAAGTGTTCTGTCTTGACTATAATAAATATGATGAGCATTGGATCTATTATTATCTCCTTTTAGACAGACTAGAAAGGTAAAGAGACATGGGTATAAAAACATGAATTAGAAGAAGAAACCCATTAGAGGCAAGCAGGTTCATGCTGGGCCCATGAGCAAGATGAAATTCACATATGACCTCCAAACACCAAGTTTTCTCAAGTGAAATTAAAGTTTGAGGCTCCCTTATCTAAGAAGTCCTCTATCTTCCTGCTGCTCAAAATGTGGTCCATAGACCAGCAGCATCTATATTACCTAGGAGCTTGTTAGAAATGAAGAGCTTAGTGCCCCTCCTGAGACCTACTGAACCAGGATCTGAATTTTAATAACATCCTCAAGTGATACGTACATTAAAGTTTGAGAAATGTTTGACTTAACATTCTTTCATTCTCTGGAAAAATCACCTGTTTCACCTTTCTCATCTTCAAGCTATGGAGGTGGAGGTAAGAGTCAATTTCTCATTGATAGTCTATAGGAGCTAACACAGTGAAGAGACTTCAAACTAACCCTAGAACACTATATTTGCAGAGAAGTTTACTGATTTTAAGAATCTGCCTCATAAGTTTGTTGTATAGGTTAGAAACAATTAAAAACTCAATAAATTGTAGGCATTATTCATAATAACCTATGTCATCTTTTAGACAATATGAATGCCTTCAAGATTTTCCATTTAAGACAGTGTTTCTAAATTTAGTTAACTTGAAAAATCAGCAAAATGGAAAAGTTATGTAAAAATAGTAGCCCCTATATTCTTTTCCCAATCTTTGGCTTCCATTCCTTCTTCAATTGCTACCTTTTTCAGTCTAGTAGTCTTTGTTGATTGCCAGTGACAAGGAAACTTACACCACATTAAATTACTAACTCCAAGCAATGTTCTTAGCTTTTCTTTAATTTTCTTTCACAAATAGTTAAAATAGTATTTGTTATTATTAATAATTTTGGAAAGCCTCAGCTTATTTTGCAGTTTAGATTTTCAAAATGTGTACCCACTGAAACCTATTACCTCCAAGAATTTTGGATATCATTTAAAAATATAGTTTATTGGAAGGTTTCCTAAACAAACACAGCAGATTTTTAAACAACATTTTCTAATTACAAAAGTAATGCATATTCATGATAAAGAATTGGGAAAATACACATGAAAATAAAATTCAAACGCCAGTTATAATTTTTTTCACCCAGATCATCATTGTTGGATATACTTCTTTTCCTTCCCTCTCTCAGTCTCTCTCCCCTCTCTTTGTTTTATTTAAAGCAGTGATCTTTAACCTTTTTCATCTTATGGTACACATAAACTAATTACTAAAATTCTGTGGCACATTAAAAATATATTTTTCCAATTTGACAAAAAATAGATATAATTTTGATTCATTCATACTAGACAGGTACTGATGTGTTGGCTGTTGTCATTTTTCAATTTGACAACCTAAGGGAAAAGACGTCAATGCCCCTGATTAAATAATCAGGTATTTCATGTTTTAAAAATTCTTGTGTGACACCAGTTGAAAATCACTGATTTAAAGTGTTTTCAAAGAAAAGTTATTATCTTCAAGTTTTATCACACTGGTGACAGGCACATTGCTTTCTTCACTTATTCACAACTCAAGATCATTTTCCAATAACATTATAAAGTGTTGTTCAAAATATGATTTCATGGTGCACATTAAAATCACATTCTATGAAAATACCATAATTTATATAATTCATTATTTTAATGTATATTTTGAGTATATTTAATTAATATCCATGCACATAATTGGGGGAGACACTTTAATTATCTGCCAAAGGTAGTGTAACGTAGTATCATTGGAGAAATTAATGAAAACCAACTAAATGAGAAAAATCCAAGGCTATTTATACAAAAACTGCTCTAGCAAGGAAGTCAACCACTATCACCTGCATTTTGACAAGAGATACTAAGGTGGACAAGAGTGGAAAAGTGTTATAGTAGAAAAAGGGAAGGCTTCAGGTGTGATGTTTTGGAAGCTATTCACATGGGGAAGATGTAGGTGGGGTACCTAGAAGGGGCATTCTGTGTGATTGGTTAGGGGTGCATATTTAGCTCAAAGTTGGAAGTGGAGATAAAAATTAGGGAGCTCTTCATTATCTAAATCAAGACCTAGCCACTTTAGGGGAACTGTTACAATTTGTTTTGTTTGTTTGTTTGATTGTTTTTTAGCTTCTTGGAGTTGTACTAGAGACAACAGTCTGGTTTCCTCCAAGTCTGCTTTATAGCAGGCTGGCTTCCTGAGCTGCTTGTTTTAGTATAAGGGGTTGGTTTCCTGAGCAAGTTGTGGCAGATTGCTGGTCAGAGTATGGTTTTTATATATAGTCTGATCATTGTCTTTTTATATCTTCCATCCCTCACAATTTATATTCCCAAAATCTATATGATTTGTAGCCTTCTAGGTATTATCATTTTCTTGAAAACTTTATCAATTTATTTGATGAGAAAATAGTACTTTACGTTTTTAATATGTAGTTATTTGAATTTAGGTAAGTTGTTATTTTTCATAAATTTGCTCGCCATTTTCAATTCTTTTCTGTATTTTCTACTCTGTTCTTTACTCATTGTCTGTTGGTAAATTGATCTTTTCCTTATTGAATTAAAAATGGAATCTCCAGCAGACAGCTGATTATTTAGTTTTGAAGCTAAGAGAAGTCTGGTACTGGAGATAAATATTATGAGATCTTCAGCATGCAATTGATATTTGAGGTACACAGGGACTAACCAATAAAGGTAAAATGAAACCTAAAATATAACCTTTTGGAATACATAAATTTGAAGGCACATTGAAGAGGATGGAGTTTAGACTGATTCCAAGAAAATATGTAAAAGTCCTAAGTGACATATTTTCCCAAGTAATTAAAGTTTTACTGTAAATTGGGAAATGCTATGACTTTTTAATTTTAGCAGAGATATTTCTTGATTCTAGCTGGTCACACATTTATATTTCTTCTTAGAATCTTTGATTTTGCCATTGCAGAGCTACAAACAAATATAAAGACAAAAACATTGAAAATAATAAAGAAATACTAATAAGAGAATCCAAAGAAACTATCAGACTTGCTTTGACAGCTCCTTATTTTTAAATAAATATATGCCCAGCACCAAGCACAGTGTCTGGCACATAATGGAGTTTAATAATTATTTGTTGATTGAGTCAATCAATTAACTAGTTGATTAATTTAACATATCTCCTTATCATGATGTGTTCCCAAGAAATAGACTTTCTTGGTGTCCTGCCACCATCTCTTCTATGAGTAAACAAGGAGACATTGAAGATTTAGAACAAGGCAGTTGATGACACAATGAAGGTGGTGTTTGGGATATTTATATCAGCAGTTGTATGAGAGTTCAAAGAAGGGTGTGAATAAATCCATGGTAAAGTTCAAAAATGACTTCATGGAGGAAGTAGCACATCAAGTGGTGCTTAAAGGATAGGTAACAAAGTC